AGACACTTCCTATGTGGCTTTCTTACATTTCACGTTTCACCTGATCCTTTCCCTGTCTCTTTCTTTCACACTGGTGGATTACAAATATGGAGTAAATGTGTTGTCTCTTTCGATTGTTCTACCCTCTTACTATCTTATACATTTTCTTATGCTGTATATTATATAATACATGGTTTGAAAGTATTTCCTTATATAACTTTTGAAAAAAACATGTATAATATAAATATGTATCCATTTCCCCCCAAAAACATGTATAATATAAATATGTATCCATTTCCCCCCAAAAACATGTATAATATAAATATGTATCCATTTCCCCCCATTTCGGAATCTGTGAGTTTTTTGTACTGTTTTCGTATGATGTCTGCCTTCAGATTGCAAACAAGTGAGTGAATAAGTGATACCTGTATGATTGCTAACTGCTTTTTTATTTACTCTGAATGTATATTTAATTTAAATGCTGGTAAACTTGTTATTTAGAAAAATAACTGCTTCACCCGTTTAAAGTAAAACCAAGCATATGACTTAATCAAAGGTTACCTTTAGTGAAAACGAAGTGTCAAAACTGGCAGCACTTAGTATCCTAATATACTTTATAGTCTACTACAGTTCAGGGCCAAATCTAGGGAGGTGCTGGGGTGGTGCCCCCTCGGATTTTAGTTGTGCCCCCAGGTCTCTGAGAGTGCATCCACTGCCATCAGCCAGTTGATGTAAGGAGGCACACTGATGGGGACAATCCATGTAAGGGGGCACTCTGATGGCGGCACCTGATGTAAAGAGGCACTCCGATGGAGGCACCTGATGTAGCTGGTGAACTGATGGGGACATTTGATGTAAGGTTGCACTTTGATGGGCATAGCTGATCATATGTAAGGGGGCAATCTGATGGGGACAACTGATGTAAGGGGGACTCTGATGGAGACAACTGATGTAAGAGGGCAATCTGATGAGGACACTGATGTAAAGGGATGCTCTGATGGGACACCTGATGTAAGGAGGCACTCTGAAGGGGACCTTGATGTAAGGGGACACTCTGAAGGGGACCATTATGTAAGGGGGCACTCTGATGGGAACTTGATCTAAAGGAGAACTCTAAAGAGAACTCTTGATGTAAAGAGGGACTGTGCTATAAGGGGCAAATGTTTTGTTTAATCACCCTAATCTAATGATAGTCTAACACATCCTAGTGTTTGCTAGGTTGTGACACTGTGTGACAAACTGCTGGCGACTCACACACAGTGTTGACATTATGCCCCCTGACTTTGTTTTACTGCACCCCCAGATCATATCTGGCCCTACTACAGTTATTAGGTTTTCCTGTAAAAGTCTACTTTAACCCTGTCCACTTCCGTCTATTGTGCCTTTCGGGTGGTCAGTGTAGCTGCCTAAGACAATAAATTTATTTTTACTGGAAACGTCTGAATGGGCCTATTACTTCAGGTGCCTATATGTGTTGATGTTTCCGATTGAAGGTTTTCACTCAGCTAACCTCTGCTTGTGTATACTTCTTCATAGGCTCATTTAGATTTGCCAAAGCCATTATTAGAACCTATTGTAGTGCATTCTTTGCCTCCTACTGCATATATACAATATAGAACTGGGGTTCCCGATCACTTGCTGTCTGTCAAACACTTAAGGACTGTCAAAACAAATCACCGGTGTAAAGTAGTTATTTGGCCATTTTGTTTTAGTGAAATAAGCTTTCTCTAAGCCAGCCAATAGTAGATGTATTTGGAGAGTGTTGGATTATGCAGCACATGAATATAATTTCCATGAACAAACTACTTGAAGCCAGGGGCGGACTGACCATTTGGAAACTCGGGCACTGCCCGAGGGCCCGGGGTCAGTAGGGGACCCCATTAGATGCCCCTGGTACCTTTTTTATTGGCTTTTTTGAGTTTGGACAAGGACACAGGGGCCCCATGATCCCCTATTGCCTGGGGGCCCCATGAGTTGTCAGTCCGCCCCTGCTTGTAGCGCTACATCTCCCATACGTGGGCAATAGATGTTGATGTGGTGCCTTGTCATCAGGGGTGTTTCTAGGATTGCTAAATACCTGGGGCACCCCTAGTCACTGCAAGTGATACTGCAGAGGTAACATGTGGCAGCATAAAATGGGTATGGACACACTGCGCAGTGAGAGGAGATTAGGAGACAAATTGTACATACTGTAAATATATAGAATTAATTACTGAACATATCTATTATCTAAATACAAATGTATGTATATGTATACAATATACACAAATGGGTGGCATTTATAAAGTAATGAAACATAAAAAAGCGTGCCCAAACACTTCCCACCAAATTGGAACAGATACTGGTGACACGGATATGTAAGATTAGTTACAATTGCAATGGGATAACTCCAATGGCAAGAAAATTGTGAAAATACTAAGGTAAGTGAACAAAAGTTAAAACTGGAGTATTTTTTTTTTTTTATGTACGAACAATACTCCTCAAATGAGGTTACTTCTTACTTACATACCAACATACATGGTTAAAAACTTTAAAATGAACTAGTTGATATGTGTTAATTCAATGATGTATAAGCAGAAATGGCATAATTAAGTGACAAACCATGACCTGTTAGGTTGTTGGAATTGTTTGCATGTGCTCAAGATTTTACACCACTGATAAATAATTATAAAACAGTCTATACAAGCAATGATCATCTTGCTATCACTTCCAGTTCAACACCACAGATTCCTGTCTTTTGTAAAAAGCTAGTCACACAGTAACCTTTGATGTCCATAGTCCTACTTATACCTCTCTTACACCTGACCCTACTTACTTTCATCCTTCTCGAACCTTCCAATTATTCAACTTGGTATCTAATGATCTGTATTTCCTGGAGTCCAGGCCTCATTTTCAGTGATGATAGTTCATAGAAGCAGTGCTACTGCCTGTGAATGGAACTTTGCTCTCTTGCAGAACTTCTCCCGACACTGGAGTTTTCAGCATCAAACCCTAGCAAGGTGGCTCTTAAATAGTAAAGCTGGGAACACACTTGAAGTTTTTTTTTTTCGTTCAACTCAGCGGGTTGAAGGAAAAAAAACTAAAGCTAGCTATAGATGGTTCAAATCTCGTCCGATTCAGTAGGAGCTGGTCGAGATTTGAGCCATGTATGGGCAGGCTGAATTTACCCAAGTTGATTAATCGATCAACTTGGGTACAACCAGCCTGTCGAGTTTTTCATGCGATTACTCTTTAGCGGCTATTGTAGCCGTTAGCAGTACTTTCTGTGTTTTCCCCGCCCCACTGCTGAGAGATCATAATGGTTCCGCAGGAGGGATTCCCCCATCAATGCTGACCGTGTTGATGGGGGAATCATGATCAAGTGATCTTTTTTGTACTGCAACCCGTGGTTGCAGGAAAGAAAATTACTCCATTTATGGCCAGCTTTAGAGGTTGCCATACTAACACAAGCAATGTTAGTGCGATGATATCCTTTGCTGTGGCTTTGTGTTCCAGCATGGGGACTGCCCTCCCACCAGAACACACTGGTCAGTGCTGGCATCCATTTGCCTACCATCGCTGATCAGATACTAGTTTTCCAGTATGCCCATTCAACAGAAGCAGCCCATGAGCATGGCTTCTGTAGAACACACAGCTGTACATACTTTCAGCCCGAGTGTACAGGCTTCACTCATTGACCACCCAACAGTAGCTAAAACCAAAGAATTACAAAAAGGTGTGTCAGGCCCCCAACAAATGAGAGATAAATAAAAACTAATTGTAGAGAGAAATGTAGCGCTACTCACATGAACTACTAAATAAAAGTGCATAAATAATAATATTAAATAGTGTATCAAAATAAGTATTGAAACAAATATGAGCAAATAAAGTGCCAAAACAAGTGGAATCATGCAAAATGAGTCCTATTAGGTGACACTACTATATGTGAACAAGCCTAAAAACTCAACAGTGATAGTGATAAATATTAATTCATGCTTCCAACTATAAAGAATATAATATATATACTCACATTCAAAAAAATATTTGACTAATAAATATATAAATATCCAAAAAGTGAGCAAACATGTACATCAACACACATATGTGACTACAAATACCCCATTAAGTGAACAAACAATGAATACAATCAATGTGTATAATAGTGAACATCAAAGGTGCAACCGCACACAACACAAAAAATATCTATTTCTGTGCTCATAAAGTCCAAAAACACATAGATGACCACACTCAGATGAAAAACCTTGTGCTGATGTTTGTGTAAACAAGCGGGTAGATGGTTGACAGGCGATAATTCGACCATCAGCTAGATTAGCCTCACAACTCAAACATTCGACCCTTGCAGGTCAAAGAGCTCAATCGGATCCCTCTCAAAGATCCTTCAAATCTGCTGTCACTCCAAACAGGTCAGCTCCCACCGCACACAAATCTCCCTTTAGGGTCAGCACAGCAATATTGGCTCCTCTCCAGGCTAGGTCAAATGCTGCGCTAGCATCTCATTCAAAAACTTAAAACACATCCTCCCATTGTGCAGTATTGTTTACTTCGTGGAACCTGTCCACCAGCCTCCTACACCTGTCACATGGCTCCTTCTTTGCAGTCCGGGCACAGTCCGGGAATCAGCGTGCAGGGAGGGCGGACACGGAAGTGAGAGGCTTGGAAGGATGCAATGTCTGTGCCCGGACTGCAAAGAAGGAGCCATGTGACACATGTAGGAGGCTGGTGGACAGGTTCCACGAGGTAAACAATCAGGGCTTAAACTTTCAAGTCCTGAGCTACTAGCCAGGCCTTAAGAGTTACTTGCCACCAACAAACACACACAAACAGAGATACCTGTACACACACATGTACATACACACACAGAGAAACCTGTACACACACACACAGAAACATGTACACGCACTCACAAAAGATACATGTGCACACACATACACACATATAGACACATGAATACACACACAGGCACGTACAGACACGCATACACACAGATACATGTACATACACAAATACACACGCACAGACACATGTACATAAACACAGACACATGTACACACAGACACCTGTACGTACATACACACAAACACACACACACACACACAGACACATGTACACACACACATACAGTGACGAACAGAAGTATTTGAACACCCTGCGATTTTGCAAGTTCTCCCACTTAGAAATCATAGAGGGGTCTGACATTCACATTGTAGGCGCATTCCCACTCTGAGAGACAGAATTAAAAAAGAAATTCAGGAAATCCCATTGTATGATTTTTAAAGAATTTATTTGTCTTGCACTGCTGAACATAAGAATTTGAACACCTGAGAAAATCAGTGTTAATATTTGGTACAGAAGCCTTTGTTTGCAATTACAGAGGTCAAACGTTTCCTGTAGTTCTTGACCAGGTTTGCACTGCAACAGGGATTTTGGCCCACTCCTCCACACAGATCTCCTCTAGATCTGTCAGGTTTCGGGGCTGTCGTTGAGCAACACGGAGTTTCAGCTCCTCCAAAGATGTTCTTTTGGATTTAGGGCTGGAGACTGGCTAGGCCACTCCAGAACCTTGATATGCTTCTTACGGGGCCACTCCTTGGTTCTCCTGGCTGTGTGCTTCGGGTCGTTGTCATGTTGGAAGACCCAGCCATGACCCATCTTCAATGCTCTGACTGAGGGAAGGAGGTTGTTGCTCAAAATCTCACAATAAATGGCCCCATTCATCCTCTCCTTAATACAGTGCAGTCGTCCTGTCCCCTTCGCAGAAGGGATGGTGTTCTTGGGATGCAACTCATCCTTCTTTTTCCTCCAAACACGAAGAGTGAAGTTTAGACCAAAAAGTTCTACTTTGGTCTCATCTGACCACATGACTTTCTCCAATGCCTCCTCTGGATCATCCAGATGGTAATTGGAAAACTTCAGACGGGCCTGGACATGTGATGACTTGAGCAGGGGAACCTTCCGTACAATGCATGATTTGAAACCATGACGGCGTAGTGTTCTACCGACAGTGACCTTTGAAACTGTGGTCCCAGCTCTCTTCATGTCATTGACCAGTTCCTCCCTTGTAGTTCTGGGCTGATTCCTCCCCTTTCTTATCAGTGATACCCCACGAGGTGAGATCTTGCATGGAGCCCCAGTCCGAGGGAGACTGACAGTCGTCTTTAGCCTCTTCCATTTTCTAACAATTGCTCCAACAGTTGATCTATTTTCACCAAGCTGCTTGGCAATTGCCCCGTAGCCCTTTCCAGCCTTGTGGAGGTCCACAATTTTGTCTCTGGTGTCTTTTGACAGCTCTTTGGTCTTGCCCATGGTAGTAGTTGGCATCTGACTGACTGTGGGGTGGACAGGTGTCTTTAAAGTGCTCAGACAGGTGCTACTAAGTTAGATTAATGAGTGGAGTAGAGGTGGACTTTTTAAAGGCAGAGTAACAGGTCTTTGAGAGCCAGAATTCTTGAAGTTTCTTAGGTGTTCAAATACTTATGTTCAGCAGTGCAAGACAAATAAATTCTTTAAAAATCATACAATGTGATTTCCTGAATTTTTTTTTTTTAAATTCTGTCTCTCAGAGTGGGAATGCACCTACAATGTGAATTTCAGACTCCTCCATGATTTCTAAGTGGGAGAACTTGCAAAATCACAGGGCGTTCAAATACTTCTGTTCCTCACTGTACATGTACATACATGCAGACACATGTACAGATACACACATGTACATAAACACAGACACATGTACATGCATACACACACAAACACACACACATGTACACACACACACATACACACACCCCCCCCCCCCATAAAAAGTTGCAGTACCTTGTTGTTCACTCACAGAGCCGGGTACTGCACTCTAGGGGGAGGCAGAGAGCACAGCACACACTCCTTCCTTTGCTTTCACTGCGCTCAGCTATTGAGCAGTCTGACGGCTCCCAGTGCCAATGACAGATCTGAAGTCTGGAAGCTTTAAAGAGCTTTGGGAGGGAAGAAGCCTCTTCCCCTACAACCAGGTTTTACTGGGGACCAGTAAACTGGTGTGTGCAGGTGTGCATGGCCTTTTAAATCTAGGGCCTAGCCATAATTCAGAGCTCCACCCAGGAGACAGAAGGACCCCTGTGAGGGAGTGGACCATATGTAGCAGAGAGCCACGCATGATATGCAGAATATGCATGTATTGCATGTGAACACAGTGCGACTATCATTCAGTCTGAGGGATCAGCCAAAAGGTCTGAATTTAAGGTCTGAGTAGTGGTGCAAGACCAAGAAAAAAAGTTTGAGTTTAAGGCCTGAGCAGCAGAGCTGCAGGAGTGAGCCTGGAGGCTAATTTGATTTCATTTGCATGTGAAGTGATGGTAGAGACACCTGTGAGGGCAACAGTTTATAACATTTTGTGAAGCGCTGCGCAAAATATTAGCGCTATATAAATCCTGTATAGTATTAATAATTTGGGGGAACTGTTTTGTGTTTGATAAAAGTGGGCCACTAAGTCCTGAAACATAGCTCCTGGCTATCATGAATGCACTGAAAAATGTTACTACACAAGAACAACTTTCAAAATTTTGACAAAACTGAGCTTTATTGAACATTTGTTTAGCTCATTACATGAAAGTAAGGTTAACAATATAACTTAGATTACAAAATCATCAGTTTTGCTCAAATTAGTTCATGCAAAAATGAATACACCCCACAGCAAAAACTACTACATCTAGTATTTTGTATGACCTCCATGATTTGTAAGGACAGCACTAAGTCTTCTAGGCATGGAATGAACAAGTTGGCGACATATTGCTACATCTGTCTTTTTCCATTCTTCAAGAATTACTCTTTTAGAGTCTGGATGCTGGATGGAGAGTGATGCTCTTCAGAATTCCCCATAGGTGTTCAATTGGGTTCAGATCAGAATACATACTTTGCCACTGAGTCACTTTCATCCTGTTCTTCTTCAGAAATGCAACAGTGGCCTTAGATGTGTGTTTTGGATCATTGTCATGTTAGAAAAGTACATGATGACCAATGGTACGGAGTGATGGTAGCATCTTCTCTTTCAATATAGAGCAGTACATCTGTGAATTCATGATACCATCAATGAAATGCAGCTCCCTGACACCAGCAGCACTCGTGCAACCCCACAGAAGGACACTGCAACCACCATGTTTCACTATAGGCACTATGGACGGGCTGGACATCTGTGAGATGGTTGCAGTTCCATCTTTGTAAAATTTTTGCATCACGATCTTCTTGTAGCCTTCACCTTGCTTGTGTAAAGAAATTATTTTCTTTCTCAGGCCTTTTGACATATCTCTTCCATGTGGTGTCTATGCTGACCGCATGAAAATGGAAGGGGTTTTCTTTGTTAAGTAATGTCCTTTTTGTAATCAACTGACTCGCCTGTAGTTGAATTCTTGTTAACTAGGATTTTGTTGTCTAAAATTTAGCTTTGCTCCTAAGACTTTCATTGGGGTGTATTCATTTTTGCAACATGGTCTTGAATGAATTTGTTAGGAAAAAAATTTTTTTGTTTGTTCAAATTAACAAGTCTTGTTTGCAATCAATGGCCCGCATTTGCGGGAGTATTTTTTAGTATAGTGTCCCATAGAAAATGTTGATTCTGAAAGGAAAGTGAAGGTTTTTTGACAAATCTGTTTTGGTGTACTCATGATGAGAAGGCCTGGCTTGCAGTCTCCGCTCTAATTTATCCCAAATTTTGTTCTATCAGGTTAAGGTCAGGCCAGTCAAATTGCTCCACCCCAAACTCACTCATCCATGTCTTTATGGACCTTGCTTTGTGCACTTGTGCGCAGTCATGTTGGAACAGGAAGGGGCAATACCCAAACTCTTCCCACAAAGTTGGGAGCATAAAATTGTCCAAAATGTCTTGGTATGCTGATGCTTTAATAGCTCCCTTCAATGGAACTAAGGGGCCAAGCCCAACCCCTGAAAAACAACCCCACACTATAATTCCCCCTCCACCAAACTTTACACTTGGCACAATACAGTCAGGCAAGTACCATTCTCCTGGCAACTGCCAAACCCAGAAACATCCATTGAATTGCCAGGCAGAGAAGCATGATTGGTCACTCCAGAAAACATGTCTCCACTGCTCTAGAGTCCAATTTTTAGGAAAATGAAGAAATTAAAAAAATAATTTTTCACAATTTTTTTTACATATTGTCATCAGGGCAGTACAGCATTAGCATATAACTGGTGTGGCGGTGATCAGGGACACTGACTGGTGGCAAAGCGCTATCCGGGAAGGACGTCATATGACACCCTCCCAAAGGGATGGAGTGTTTTGACCATAGGCCGGACGGCAAGTGGTTAATAGTCTCATTAAGTTAGGCAGTGTTATTCTAGGATTTACTATATAAAATAACATATCATCTGCATATGCTGCCACCTTGTGCTCCACTTCCCCTGTCTTTATTCCTACTATATCTGCAATCCGTCTTACCCTTGCCAGAACAGATTCTAATGAGAACTCAAACAGTAGAGATAGTGGGCATCCCTGTATCGTACCGTTGTGCATTGTAAACAACTGGGAGAGGGATCCGTTGACTTTAACCGCCGCTGTGGGACCATTATAAAGCCCCTGTTATCCACTTCAACATTTTGGGCCCAGTCCTAGTCCTAAGATTTCTAACGTATCGATCATAAACCCCAGTCGACCCGCCAGGTGGCACCTGTCAAAGCCTTCTCGGTGACTGTCGACAGGAATGGTATGGATGTCAGCTGCTTCTCTCTCTTTACTTTTGTAAGAGGAGCAATAATCGTGGTAGACCATTATTCCGTCCCTCTCTTCCAGGGATAAATCCTACTTGATCCAGGTGTATCCTCTCGGCATCAGCTCCTTCAGTCTAGTTGCCAAGACCTTAACATATAATTTTGTATCATCTGTGTTCAATAAGGATATGGGTCTATAGCTAGTGCACTGTGAGTTATCCTTGCCTTCTTTGAGTATAATAGTTATATGTGCTTGCAATGATTCTTCCCTCATTTGCATCCCCTCTCCTATTGAATTCATGTAACTGTACATTTTAGGAACCAAAAGATCTCCAAATTTTTTAAAATAACCTACAGTGAATCTGTCCTGACCAGAGTTCTTTCCTGGGGCCATATTCTTCAAGGCCAAACTAACTTCCTCCGGGTAATAGTTCTCTCTAAGGGCCACTAATTATCTTCTGTTATTCTTGGCATCTCCACCTCCTTTAAGTATTTCTGCCTTTTTCTCTTCTTATCCTGCATTTTTTTTTTTTTATTTCCAGGGCTCACTTTATAAAGCTGCTATAGTATTCTTGGAATCTATTAGCGATATCAGTGGGGGAATACGCTAATTCTCCTTTATCGGTTTGGATTTTATCTATAACATTTTTGGATTTCTTTTCCTTTAACCTCCTCATTAGATGTAGGTCTATTCCCCCACTGATATATTTCTTTTGATACTCTATTAAATATGCTCCTCACCTCCTGTTCCGAGAGATTTTTTAATTCTTCTCTTTTAAGGATAATCTTCTGGTATATATCCATGCCTCTTTTCTTTTTATGTAACTGTTCTAACTTATATAGCAGTTTTTCTTCCCCCCATTCTTTCTTTCTTTTTTTTAGCCCCTATCGCTATCAATGTTCCCCTAATACATGCCTTATGAGCCTCCCACACTGTGACTACCGACACCTCCTTGGTCTCATTAAACTCAAAAAATTGGTAAATTTCCTGCCTTATCTTTTTCACTGTTTCAGGATCTTGTATGAGCGTTTGATTTAATCTCCAAGTATTTATTTTGCCCTGCTCCACTCCAACCCGAAGTCTCATTGTGACAGGAGCATGATCAGAGATAGACGTAACCTCTATATTGGAGCTAACCAACAACTCCAATTGGCTATGCTTGATCAATATATAATCCAATTTTGAGTTTCATGTACTGGAGAGAAGAAGGTGTAATTTCTTTCTCTTGGATGTTTTACTCTCCAAATTTTGTCAGTTGACCTTGGTGTAATAACCTCTTCAGTAATTTTAATTTCCTACCAGCCTCTCTCGGCGTACCAGATGACGTATCCAAATACGGATCCAGGCACAAATTGAGATCTCCTGCCACAACCAGATTACCCTTTTTATATTCAGAGATTTTTCTTAGCATACCCTCCAAGAATGTTACTGGGTTTTTGTTTCACATTAAATATTAGCTAGTGTATTTTCCATTCCTTGTAGTCTTCCCTCCAGGAATAGAAACTGGCCCTCTGGGTCCACCACTCTCCCCTCCAGGGTGAAGCTAACATTTTTTGAAAACCCAATTGCTACTCCTTTAGCCCTTTTAACTGGGGAATCAGCCTAATACCACATTGGATGGTACTTCGAGTATAACCTGACATTTTTATCATGGGTTATGTGTGTCTCTTGTAGAAACACTACGTCTATGGAGTATTGGTATATTTCCTTAAGAATCTTATATCTTTTTGTCAAGGAATTTAATCCTTTCACATTATAAGTCATGAACTTGATCGAGCTCATTTGTAATGTTCCTTCTCTGTCTTATCCACTTTCCCAAACTAGGGACACAAATCTAGACAACTTAAGAAATGGACCTCCCCCCCACCCTCCAACAACCCCCCCACCTCTTGCCCTTTCTCCACCCCCAATAACCCCACTATCCCCCCTTCCTCCCCCCCCCCAAACCCTCTACCTCTAAGACCCTCATGGCCTACATATTGCCCTGGAATCTGTTGTGGATAGTTTCTACTAGTGATTCCTGATTTGGGGGTGAGACTCAAAACACACATGTTCACTCCAATCCCTAGTTTGTGTCATTAGTTAGATTGGCGTTTAACAGCATGTCTGACCTCTGGGCTACCCGCCTGAATGAAATTCTCTTTACCCCTCCATCCCTCTCAACCATTGTCACACCTAGGCAGGGAGGGACTGAGAGCATGGAAACTGTGGCACAACCGGGAGAGGGT